TTTAAATGTTTTTTAAATAAATTCCATGGTACATATTTGAGATTTTCAAGATAATGTTTAGGGATCCTTAAAGATAATTGAATGGTTACAAGGAAGAAGAGATGGTTCTTCCAGAGGACAGTGTTCTGTTCCTAGCACCTACAGTGGGCAGCTTACAATTATGATTCCAGCTCTGTGATACCCAATGTCCTTTTCTGGCCTCTATGGGCACCCACACAGATGTGCACATACACACACCCCAGGGTTGGGTGAGGCACATGCATGTAAATAAAAATAAACCTTAAATAAAATACAATGATTACTGTACTGAATCAAGTCAACATATCACCTTACATAGTTACTTTTGGTGTAACAAGAGCAACAAAAATCTACATATTTAACAAACCTTCCCCAAAGCACAACCTTTTTACTGATGATCCTAATAGGACCTTGGATCTCTAGGATTGTTCATCCTACATATCAGCTGCTCTCTGACCTACATCTCCCCTCTTTCATTCCTCTCCCCTGCCCTGGTAATCATGGTTTGATTATCTATCTCTGCATATTTAAGCTTTTGCTTTTGTTTCTAGGTTTTGCTTACATGGGCAGAAAAGGATCATGAAGTCCTATTGCACGTTGATGCTGTATTGGCAACTGATAGCTGAGTGGGAGGGAGCAATTGTTTTCTTCTGGGGATGTGGCCCCTGAGTGGCTAGACCTACTCCAATACAAACTTCTCTTTAAAAAAAGAAAAGTGAGACTATGCAGTATTTGTGTGTGTGTGTGTATGTGTGTGTGTGTGTGTGTGTGTGTGTGTGATTTAGTTTATTGCATAGGGTTTCTTTTTATTATTATTAAACCTTTTAAGGACTTTTTAATAAGAATTTTATTTAATAGAACCATAGCATTTGTGGAATCTTTTGATGATATGTGTAAAATTTATAAGCATATCACTCCAAACTAAAGCAAAATATTATTGCTCCCTTTCCAGAATAAGAGCAAAGCATTGTGCTAGACCCCAAGTGTGGTCTCTAGGAGATATAGGTATTCAACATATGGGTGGGAAAATGTGGAATTTCCATTGTTAGAATTTGACAGTCACTGAAATCAAAGTTAAAGCTGAGCTGGATGCTCATGTCCGTCATCCCAGTGCTTAAGAGAGACTTGCCTATCAATATTACCTACATCCCATGACATTACCTACAGCCCGACATCCCAATCCACTTGTTCTTCCATCATACAATTATGAAGCTGACAGGGGAAGGTACATCTAGGAGAGTTAGAATGCAGTTGGCCCACTGTAGGTAACTAAATATGAAAATTGGACTGAATCTAAATTTTCCAAGGAAATTGACCTGATGCTGGGGTGGACAGTGTTGGAATCATTTGGCTGATGATGCTAATTACTCACCATTTTGTTTAGAAAGGGAAGCCCAGTAATCAAATAAGTTTAGTAAAATCTCCTGTGTTTACAGAGATCCAGTCAAAATGATTCTACATTTTACTATTTAAGCATCCAAGTGGAAGTCATATTTTGCCTTTCTAATTGAATATTTGCTTACATGTGTGTGACACAAGATCCCTGAATGAAGCAAAATAGTAGTCTATCATACTTCTAATGTTTATAGGTACTGGAATTCTGATTGCTGCTTATCCAAAACTCCCAACTTTTTTTAAAAAAAAAAAAAGCATTTATATACTGTTATGTATCTGCTGCTTGCTACCTGTGGTATTTAAATTAATGAGTCTGGAAATCATATCACCTATTACAAGGATGAGAGTGAGAAAAACCATTTAGATGCATTTTACCTTGGGAACATGTCTTAACTAATCTAATTCCCTCACTCCTCCCACTAAAAATACTGATAATGTAGGATACCTGCCACCCACTTTACAGGGTCAGCGACAGAAGCAATCTAGCATATTAGAATGGCAGAACTGAGTAGATGGTTCAAACATCTCTGTTTGAGCTCTATTACCAACTGCTCTGTGATATCTGGTGCCTAAGAACACGCACACACACACACACACACACACACACACACACACACACACACAGCCCTACAGTGGAAGTTCAGCGTGTGCACTTTTCCATCTCAACCTTCACTCCCCACAGCCCTAACAAGCAGAGTCTCTAATAAGAATAACAACACCAGGTAGGATTTGTTGCTGAGCAAAGGAAAGCAGGCATTGGAGTGGGGTCTCTGCCTGGAGGGGGTGCTTCTCCAGGCCTTGGATTAGCTTGTGTCTCTGAGGAAGTGGATCTGTAGGCTCTCATCCTGCCTACATTTCTGGAGGATTTCATCAGAATCCAGGAATCTGGAAAAAGGACAGGACAGGCAGAAGGTGCTGGGAGAAGCATGTCCTTCCCTCCTTCTTTCCCCTCCAGCCAGCTTCACCTTCTTAATTTTATCAGTGTGGGTGTTTTGCCTGCAGGGATATCTGCACTGTGGGCACTGGAAATGGAACCCAGGTTCTCTGGGAAAGCAGTTCATTGTCGCTACTTCAACTATCAAGACATTTATATCCATTATTTTATTATCGTAACTGCTATTGCTGTCAGGAGTAATTGCTGTTATTATAAGACAAACACACAGTGAGTGGTTACACTGGACTAAGACCACCCACTTAGGTATCAAAACAACAATCCTACAAGATGGATGCTATTGTTACCCTTCTTTACAAACAGGTGAAGTGAAGATAAGTCAGAGAGAGCGAAATACTTAACAGAGGTGGTAAATGATGATGCTGAGATTCAAACCTGGAGCTGTCTGACCCCAGGTTCCTGTTTCTAATTACTCTATTGCCCTCTGATGTACTTAATGATTAACAGTTACAGTTCAAACTCAGAAAAGTATAAATTCAAAATCTATATGTTATATTTCATGGTACCACCCAGGACCCATACAAGTAAATCTCATGGAATGGTCAGTCAACAAGCACCATTTGAGTAATTCATTGAGATATGTTTTCAAGATGAGGGGAAACAATACTATCCAAACTAATATTTAAGTGCGCTCATTTCAATTCTGATGACTCAGCAAACTAGAGACAATTGGTGTCTGTATTTTCAGGAAGTGGGGGCACACCCCTTTACTCCCAGAGCTTACGAGGCAGAGGCAGGTGGATCCCTGTAAGTTCAAGGCAAGCATTGTCTATGTAGTGACTTCCAAGACATACCTACATAGTAGAGAGACCCTGCCTCAAAACAAGCAAACAAACAAAACAGAATATCCATTAGAAAGAAGGCTCAGTATTGAAAAGCACTGGCTGCCCTTCCAGAGGACCTAGGCTCATTTCCCAGCACCCACAGTTCCAGGGTATCGTAGGCTGTCTTCTGGCCTCCTTGGATAACACACACACACACACACACACACACACACACACACACACACACACACAGTGCAGAGATCTACATGAAGACAAAACATCTATATGCACAAAATAAAAAATAAAAATGAATAAAAAATGACAAGTTCCCTACTGCTCTCTACTGACCAGGATGTAGATGAGGGAGGATGGAGATGGAGAGGGCAGACCTTCATTGGTCAGTCTGGCCTGGGACTCCTCATCTCTGCCCTGTCTCTCCTATCCCCTTACCCCTCCCCACCTCTGTGCTGCCTTCCTTAGACAGGGGAAGAAGATGCTTCCATAACTTGCTCAGCACTTCAGTCACAAGCTGGTAGACAATTTCTCATCCCTTTTGAGAACTAGAATGATTTGGGTGTTAGTCAGCACACCAAAGCACACATAAAAATGCCCCTCACTGTAGAACCCAAATTAACCTCCAGAGAACTCTCTGGGCTTCCTTGTGAGATGCATTTTGTTGATTCAAGAAACATTCTTACATGGTATTTTCACATTACAAGGAAGGGCTTGTTTAAGGTGACATAATTAATCCTTATGAGTGAAAAGGGTAAAGCTAATTTTAGAACTGTCACTAGTTGAAATTTTAAATTTTTTTATTAGTAAAATCTAGACTATTTACTATATTAAATGTATAGTCACATAGCATCAATTGCCAGCTGAACGATGGGCCTTGGTTGGTTTTCTTCCCTTCTGTTCAGCTGCTGATGTGGTTTTAATTGCAAATGATAAGAGAATGCTTGGAGTCAAAAGTGTGGCATACTGCTGTGGCCATTGAGCAACCTGCTCCAGCTGAATACTGAGCAGATGTCATGTCAATGCTTGCCTCATGAGGGAAAAATTAAAAGCTGAGAGGAAATGAGGGAATGTCCTGTGTGAAGTGCCTCCAGAGAGGAAACAATCATTCATAAGCTCAAAAACTCAAGGGAATGGTTGCCGCTGTATTGTAATGAATTGTAAACCTCAAAGAAAACCAAAGTGGACTCCAAAGGCTGGATTCCAGCAGGCGAGGCATTTCAGTCTCCATAATAATCAGAGGGTAGGAAAAGACTAAATTAAAGATAACCTATTGCTCCCAGTGCCATTGACTGATAAGGCATCTCAGCAAGTGATACACACACTGATTGCCCACCTATATGAAAAGATGTATTATCAATAGCTGTTTACCCATGGTCAGTCTCTAAACTAGTGTGAGTTAAAACATTAGCTTGGGGGGGGGAAACATAATTTATGAAGTGAAAATTCTAGACTTGGAAGCCAAATAAAAATTCCTTTTGGATGACATGAAGTTATGGATTAATAAGGTATCTATACGGATAATTCCTCCTTTAGAGTGGGTAATCCAGAACTGGATACAATTATTTACATATTAAAAGTGATGGTAATGATTACATGACATTAGTTTGACTAACTCCACAAACGATGTCTTTTCTTTGCCAACAATTCCTAATAAAGACTGCTGTTATGCATGAAGTTTTGGGGTTTTTAAGATGGGGAAGAGAGTTCTAATTTTTAAAACCACAGATATAAACATGATTTTTCATGTTTGTTGAAATAGTACCTCATAATTCTGGCATTAAAGGATGTTAGGGTAGTCATTTGCTGTGTTCCATGGTCCCAAAGGTGATGTCTCTTACTTGGTTTCTCTCACACAGCAACCATCTACTTTTGCTTATGCAAGACAAATCATTAAGAAGGAAGGCTTGGGGCTCCAGGGCCTCAACAAAGGATTTACAGCAACTCTGGGACGTCATGGAATTTTCAACATGGTTTATTTTGGCTTCTACCACAACGTCAAAAACATTATTCCAGACAGTAAGGTAACTATATAATCATTTAAGATCTGTTGGGTGGGAAGTCTACCAATGTTCTTCATTTCATCTATGAAGAGTTTGTCATGTCCCACCAAATTCACATCCATTATCTATTTGACCCCATTGACTATGTACTGTACTGAGTGGTGTTCTTTCCCTCTCAAATCCAAAAACTGAGGCTTATGGAGATCAATAAAAAAGCTTAGCCTGAACTCAAGTCATGATGGGCAGGACAAACTCCATAAAGAATATCTCATTTAGATATGAATGCTTTCTCTTCATCCCTAGCAGAAATTTCTACAAACTGTGTTATCATTTCATTTCTACCTCACTCACATCACTTTCTCAAAAACATGGAGATTTTTTGTTTTGTTTTCATACTTTAAATCATTTCAGCTCACAGGAAAATGTCAGGCTATATTCCAAATTGTGTGTTGATACTCACTTATAAAATCACTTAGCTTGATTTAGGTGAGGGATAAACCAGTTTCTCTGTAGTCATTTGTTCTTGTTACCATACAATAATGATAATTGCATTATCTTTTGCTGAAAACGTACATAAGCCAACAGTCTTCAAACTCCTACAATATGAAACTAGCCTATGCTGTACTTTCAACTCACACACCATAGTGTTTTCCTTCCATGAAGCTTGACATTCATGATGACAATTCTGTGTTTTAGACTCTGAAGAAAAGCAACTCATATAACATTATAAAAGTGTTTATTTCTCCAAAGACTCTAGACAGCTCTGAACTGCATACAATTAATTGTATAAATTATTTATACAAATTAAGAACACATATATCTTATCAAATTTATGACTGCATTTAATGTATGTTATTAAAATAAAATGAATTAATTTATATTTAAGAAAGAAATTCAGAAAGATAGATAAGGTATACATATAATCACATGTTACTAGATATTTTAAATGGAAGGGAAAGAGTTGGTGATAGCAAGTGTTGGAGAAGATGAGAGAGGATAATGTTCACTATAATCACAGCGAATTCTATACGTGTGTGGTGGTTTGAGAGAAAATGGCCCCCAAAGGGAGTGGCATTATTGGGAGGTGTGGCCTTGTTGGAAGAAGTGAGTCACATTGGAGGTGGGAGCTTTGAGGTCTCTTCTGCTCAAGCTATACCTAGCCCAGTTCATTTCCTGCTGCCTGTGGATCAAGATGTAGGACTCTCAGCTACTTCTCAAGTATCATGCCGGCCTGTCTATCACCATACCCTGCCATGATGATAATGGACTAAGCTTCTGAACTGTATAAGCCACCCCCATTTAATAGTTTCCTTCATAAGAATTGCCTTGGTCATGGTGTCTCTTCACAGCAATACCAACCCTAAGACAATATCAAGTGATTATCAAAAATAATTAAAGAATGAACAAATAATGGTTCATGACTATAATCTCATCACTTTGGAAGCTGAGTGAGGCAGGAGCATCACCATTAGTTTGAAGCCAGCCTGAGATACATAACAAGAGCCTGTCTTTAAGACAGACACCAATAAATAAATATCTACAAGTTCAAACTGTACTCTAGAGCTAAGCACTCTACAGTTATTACAGTTATGTTCTGCATAACTAGAAAAGACCAGAAACCTAGTAGTTTCTTTATTTTCTTAAAAGATCACACAATCCTAAAATAATAGAAGGAGCCAATTTTTGCCTGTTTGTAAGCCAACTTTGCTACTAATGTGAATACCATGTTTTATTTCAATAAGTATTTTAATGAAGAAGCACCTCTCTTGAGTTGAAGAGATGGCTCAACCATTAAAGGCTAAGCTCTCAACCAAATGCTTCTGTCTGTATTCCTGGTTCTCTGTAAAGTGTGCCCTTTTCTCAAAGGGACTCTCAAGAACCAGAAGGAAAGGTCATTGAACAGGCATATTGAAAATGTTTTATTGTATTTAGGCAGGAAATGTGTTGACAGTCATTAGTTAATAATACTTTTAATCATGTTTGAAAATGCTTTATAAACTTTCAGATTCCATTTTTCTAAATTTGGACAGCTAATCTAAAAACAAACCCCATTACAATTTTTAGCATGTAATAAATCACCATTGTCTAAAAACAATGGGTTTTTCTAACATTTATCCATCCAGCATGCTAAGGTCTGCACTGCTGTCATCTCCTACTCCCATTTATAAAGTGCATATAAAAATGGAAGCTAATAAGGACAGAAACTTTTCCTGGAATTTTTCTTTTCACTGCTGTGTCCTCAGAGATTAAAACAGTGCTTGGTGCAGAGCAGGTCCTCAGAAAAAACTCTATTAAATGAATCACGTGAACGAAGGAAGAAATGACTGGAAAATGCATTTCCTTTCACTGTTAGGGATACCTTGGCATTTGGGAGAGCCCCTATATTAATTGATGTTAGTGTATAGGAAGCTGGCAGAAAGCTTACGGTCCAAGGATTTTGGGCTAGAGTGGGTTTTACCTTAACCAAACAGAACCCCAAGAAAAAGAAAATACCACGATAGGATCATTGTGTTCAGAAAGTAAGATACTTGGTTTTGGAAATGCTTCTTAAAATGGAGATTTTCACATTGTCAAGATATGTTTCCCCAGGCTGCCTCGGTAGACAGCCAGAGCAGCAGACAACCTGGCAATAACCAAAATCTTAATGACATCAGAAGTGTAGACCAGCTCCTGCTGTGCAGGCAAAACTCCAGAGAACAGAACTGAGAGGCACGGCATATGGCATGAACTGCTCTCCCCATGTCTTCCAAGACTCAGTATCTGTCCATTCTTTTGGAAATCTAGTTTGAAATGTCAATGGGTATTTTAACAAGTAAATTTCTGTTAGCTATCATTTCCTACATTGAGACTAGACTAATAAACAAAGGCTCGATTTGTTAACCAGAACCCTAAGGGATATTAAGTTCTCTCCCAACTCTTCAAAAAGACATGGACTGGAGAGATGGCTCAAAGTTTAAGGGCACTTGTTGCTATTGCAAAAGATCCAGGTTTAATTCCCAGCACCCATGTAGCAGGCAGCTCACAACTATCTGTAAATCCAGTTCCAGGGATCTGACACCTTCTTCTGGAATCTGTGGGCAAGCATGTGGTACTCATAAATGCAGGCAAAACACTCATAAAGGTAAAATAAAAATATCTCTGTTATATTTTGTTCATTTTAGTTTTAGCTTTTCTTTCCCCTGAGGGACAGCCTTGCTCTCTAGCCCCACTATGATCTTGACCCTACCATCAAGGCCAGGATAGCTTTAAACTCATAATCTTCCTATATATTTCATGGGCTGTAATGATGGCTCAGTGGTTAAGATCACTCACTGCTCTTCCAGAGGACTCAGGTTCAATTCCAAGCAACCATATGGCAGCTCACAGCTATCTGTAACTTCTGCCCCAGGGGATCTGATTCCCCTATATAGACATACTTACAGACAAAAGACCAATGTATACAAAATAAAATATTTTTTTAAAAAAGCAAAAGTTCAGTAAAAACTTACTGTAATCCTTTCTCTGCAGCTTTACACTCGTGGAGAAAGTCAAGGAATTGCTTCCTAGCTATTTGACTATCACCAACTTCAAAATCTTGATCCAGTTTGGGCAGTGCTGAAATCTGCCACATAGGCTCAGAATTCTGTTTCCACACTTCAGCTTCCAAACTAAAATAACTTCTTCCTTCTTGTTTAATGGCCTTGGCACTTGCCCCCACCCACCCCCACCCCCGTGATATATGGGAGTGTAGGAGGAATTCTGTGCACAAAGTGTGGGGTCATCAGGTCCGAAGGTCACTCTAACATGTGTTTTTGGAGTGCTTGACAGGTGGCAGGTGTATCCTTACCCAAAAAACACTAATGTCTTCATCTATTCTCTGTTATTATGGCAAAGACGTTTGAGACTGGGTAATATATAAAGAAGAGTTTGAATTGGGGAGCCTAAAATTAGGTGCCACATCTGGTGTGGTTCTTCTATCTCACAACAAAATGGCAGGGCCAGAGGGGAGAAAAATAGGAAGCACACTTGCATACTTTGGGAAACAAGAGTCCAAGCATGTCACAACAACCCCTTCTGAGAGTAACACTCAAGAACAGCATTGACTCCTCGCTAAGGTCCAGCCTCCATGGCACAATCACCTCTGTAAGCGCCCTCCACTTCTCAGGACCATTACAATGGCAATTAAATTTCAAAATCAAATTTTAAGGAAACAGCATTTTCTAGACATAAAAGGCAGACACGCACATAATAAGAGCACACAAGCTCAAGCCATTCCAAAAAAAAAAAAACTGCATGAAGCAGTGGACATGGCCACAGAGGCCCACCCATAGGCCAGAAACCTATTTGCAAATAGTAGCTACTGGGTGTGGGAAAATCAGTTCTCCTCAATGGAATACCACTGCATAGATCAACCACCCCACAGCATAGGTCCCCGCTTAGGAGGTGTTCGCCAACAAAAAGGATTCCATGTTTGTAGTGGCAGAGAGAGAGGGGGAAGAGAAGGAGAGAGGGAGAGAGGGAGAAAGGGAAAGAGGGAAAGAAAGGGAGAGGGAGAAAGAGAGAGGGGGAGAGAAGGAGAGAAGGAGAGAGGGAGAGAAGGGAAGAGGGAAAGAGAGGGAGAGGGAGAAAGAGAGAGAGGGAGAGAGAGGGAGAGATGTAGGGAGATAGTTCTGTGGCACTGACCACGCCCATTGGGGGTGGAGCCATGGGCGGAGTGACCTGTGGAAGGAGGTTCGAGGGGGCCAGGAAAGCTGCTCTCTTTCTGGCGTGACTCGGACAGGAGAGGATCGGGTTGAATTTCCTGGTGTTCATCTGTCTAGGTTATAAGTTATTTCTCCCTGAATAAACATCTATTCGGCCTATTTGTTTATCCTGATCCTTATTTACCGGGATAGAGAGAGAGAGAAGAATGAAGAAGGTTTAGTATGTGTGTGTGTGTGTGTGCATGTGTGGACATTTTGTTTCATTTTGTTCTTTTTATTTCATTTTTGTGGGGGTTTTTTGTAAGAGAACGGGAGAAGAGACAGAGGGAAATAGAACTC